AGACCGCGATAAAGGCAAGTCTAGCAAATCTGAAATAAAATCCAAAAACAGAAACCTCGAGCTACAGCTGGTAAGGGAAGCAGTGAGCAAAGTTGGATGTCTTCCCAAACGAGTACTTAGTTACGTTGAGCTTATGGCCGACCAGCTCGGTCCTGTCGAAAAGGCCTACTATACAACCATTGGCAAGGGAACAGGGCCAACTAAACAGACGGCACTTAGGCGAATAGGAAGAAAAATAAAAGAATGGCAAGTCTCGGGGTAATTTCTTGATATACCAATTGATCATTCTGACTATAAATTCTTATTACTTTTAATATTAATGTAGCTAATGAACTTGGTTTTTCCTTACTTTTTTAGCAACGACAAACCATCAGTAAAAGACCCGGAGGATGTATACGAGAGTAGTTGTAGBGAAGAATCTTCGCCGATGGACATCAAAAACGATGCAAAGTGTACCTCGAAAAGAAAAGCAGACTATGGAAGGGACGGCCTTTATCTTGTTGGGGAAGATGAAAAAAGTAAAGCCTCTGATGCCAGAAAGTTCACGGAGACCACAACCAAAACGGAACGTTCAAGATTTCTTAGTGAATTTGAAGAGGATGAATTGATTGCAGAGGAGGAAAAAGGTGAGATGCTATCCATCAGTTTCATTGCCGTCATCGATATTATGTTCTTACGTAAGGCTTCAGCATAAGCACGAGGGAGTACGGCTCTTTTGAGTAATTTTCGGGTTGGGGTTGTGGGTCAGACCTACTAAAGTTATTTTTTATATATTCTTGCCTACATCATCTAAGGCTGAGTGAAAAGATTTAAGGCTGAATTATAAATTTTGGATCCATACCATAGTTGACAAGTTGAAACTTCGGGGTTATAATAATTTCGGGTAATGGCTAGTTCGCACGTAACACTCGTCGGGTATCTTTTCGGGTGTACAAACTGGAGTTTTTCGGCGTTTCCTGGTATCTTTTAGGGTATCGAAGTAAGACTCTTATCGATATCCCTTTTTTGCACTTTAAAATTAGTTTAGCCGCTATAACTGACTCATCATCAAACGCACAATTTAACAGCCATTTTGCAATTTTTATGTTTGTATTTCCTATGGGTTAACATTCTCCCGAAATCATTTTCTATGTGCTGAGTAGATTTCCTGAGTAGTAGAGTTTTGAAGCTTTTTACGAGCATATCCAATATTTAATTTGTAGCCCCAATACAACGACCCAACCCGCATTCATCGCACGCGGTGTTATTCATTTAAACGTGGTGTATTCTTGTCCCTATTCTTACAGCTGGAAAGGGAACAGAGAAGAAGGAAAAGAAGAAAAAGAAGAAAGATCAACTAGATGAGCTTATGGCAATGATGCCTACAATGACGGAGGCTGTAACCAAGGCGGCAAAGGCACA